TGGCACATTTAAGCCATTTACATTCAAAGTGATTATTGATAGGTATGTATTTATTGCCATTTAATTTTTTTAACTGTGTTCCTAGGTTTTTTTGTTTTTGTTTTTCTTCCTCTTCTCTTCTTAAAACAAGCCCTTTAACATTTCTTATAATGCTGGCTTGGTGGTTAACAAACTCTGTTAGCCTTTTGTTGTCTGGGGAGCTCTTTATTTCACTTTCATTTTTAAAAGTAGCCTTGCTAGGTAAAGTATTCTTGGTTGTAGGTCCTTGCTTTTCATTATTTTGAATATTTCATGTCATTCCCTTCTAGCTTAACATGTTTCTGTTGAGAAATCAGCTAAAAGTCTTGTGGGAGCTCCCTTGTAGGTAACTAACTGCTTTTCTCTTGTGACTTTTAAGATTTTCTCTTTGCCTTTAATCTTTGATGTTTTAATTATGATGTGTCTTGGTGTGGGCCTGTCTGGGTCCATCTTATTTGGGACACTCTGTTCTTCCTGGACTTATATGTCTTTCTCTTTCCCCCAGGTAAGGTAAGTTTTCAGTCATCATTTCTTCAAATAGTTTCTCAGTCCCTTATTCTCCCTCTTCTCCTTCTGATAACCCTATGATGAGGATGTTGTTACACTTCATATTGTCCCAAAGGCCCCTTAAACTATTGTCATTCTTTTTAATTCCTTTTTCTTTTTGCTGCTCTGATTGGGTGTTTTTTTTTCTACCTTGTCCTCCAAATTGTTGGTTTGAGCCTCTGCTTTATCCAAACCGCTGTTTATTCCTTCCAGTGTATTCTTTATTTCAGATACTGTATTTTTCATTTCTGACTGGTCCTTTTTTATGGTTTCTATGTCATGTTTCAGGCTGTTGAGCATCCTTATAACTGTTACTTTGAACTCTGTTTCTGCTAAATTGCGTCCCTCCATTTAGCTCATTTTCTGGAGAATTCTCTTGTTCTTTCATTTGGGGCCTGTTTCTTTGTCTCTCCATTTTGCTGCCTCTTTGGGTTTGTTTCTATGTATTAGGTAGATCTGTTACGACTTTTAGTCTTTATGTGGTGGCCTTATGTAGTAAGTGTTTGGTAGGACCCAGTGTTGCAATCTCCTTGGTCATCTGAGCCAAGTTCTCTAGGAATGTTTCTTGTGTATGTCCCTTCAATTGTAATTGAGTCTTGATTGCTATTGGCCTGTTTGTGCCAGGGATCAACCCTCAGACTGACTGACAGTGATGTTCAACACCAGCCATGGTATGTGAACTGCTGTGCAGGTGCTGATTGTATGAAGCGGAATTCACCTCAGCAGGATTTAGTGCCTGCCAAGATCTCCTTGTGTATATGCTGCTTGTGAAGCTTATTGGATTCTGCTCTGTTGTTGTATGAAGCTGGCCTCTGGCTGTGTTGGTTCTGAGCCTCTTGGGCAGGACTTTGGTATAGGCCAGTGTCAGACACTGCCTGTGATTAGCTTTGGACAACTAGTTTGGATCTTTCCACAATCCACAGTTTGTAGCTGGCTCTTCTGAGCTTGGGTGTGCACAGAAAGGACCAAGCTGTGCACCAAGGCCTGCTTTTACCAGCACTAGGCCTGAGGGCAGGTTAGCAAAAGTTTCAAAGCACCAGAGGTCTGCCTTCACCTACTGGCTGCCTGTTGGGCTGTTACTGTTAGACTCTGGCTGTGCTCCTCATTAGGGTGTAAGCTCTGCAGAGTGAGGGATGGAGAGTCCAGAAAGTAGGGCAGTTGCTTTCCCCCAGGCTGATGCCACATGGAGGGGAGTGAGTGCTCCACCCTAGAAGAATGGCATCTGTGGTATGGGAGAATGACTCAGCACAAGGAACCTGGTGGCTGGTGGCTCAGCTCTCTCTCCAGAGCCACAAACCCCAGACTTTCCTCATGTGTCTCTAGTCTGCTCTTTCCTCCCTCTTGTCAGAGCTCAGGGTGAGTGGCTGAAAATGAAATCATATATGTTGCCTCTTTAAGAAGATGTCTATGTCTCTAGTCATTTTTCTCTAGCAGACAGAAACGCCACTGCTTTTCACAGCCAGATGTTATGTTGGTCCCTCTTCCTGGTTTGGTGCTCTGGGCTCGGGAGACTGGCTTGGGATTTAGACCCTGCACTTCCCGGGAGAACCCTGTTCTGGTGAGATATTCCTCTGAACCTCAACCACCACAAGTGCATCTCCATCCTTCCTACCAGTTTCAATGTGGCTTCTTTTGTAAATCCTTGGTTATGAGGCTTCTCTTCAGCTAGTCTTCAGTTGGTTATTCAGGATGATTGTTCTGTAATTTAATTGAAATTCCCGCTTCTTCTGGGAGGAGGTTAGTGTGGTTTCTACCTACTCTGCCGCCATCTTGGATCTCTCTAGAGTACATCTTTTTAATAGCTGTGTAGGACTAAACACATCAGGAACTGTGAGAGAATTAAACCTCAGTACCCTCCACCATCCATGATATATAATGAGTCAATCTCCCATCCTTAGGAGAATTGGGAAAATAGTTACTCTAGTAGTTTGTTGTGTTCTGTGGTTCAGTGAAGAACCCCCGTAGAGAAAGCTCACGTAACCCCAAAGTTATCAGGACTACCCCCCAAAATACCAGGTGGGGCAAAGTGAGGTTTCTGAGCCAGTGGTGTGAGGAATAGAGGGTCCACGTGCCCAAATCATCTTCAGTGCACATCTCTCCCCAGGAGTGAGGATAATGGGTACTTGTGTTGGCTTGGCACTGAATTCTTTTGTAGTTATCAGCATAGGGGCATCTTCAGGTGGTCTCCACAGTGATAGGGCTGTTGTTTATGCAGTGCTTTGTCTGAGCCAGGCTCTGTGCTGCTGACCTTACTTAATTCTCATAGTGGCTCTATGAGACCTGTGATATCCTGTTGTACTGCCATTCCTGGAGTCAGTGGGAGCTCAGGGTCACTTGGCTGCATACTCCAGCTCACTTTTTAGATCTATTTACCAGTAACTTCCTTGCTGGTTGGTTTTACACTTCTTTCCCTATTGTTTAAACTTACCTAGCACAAACCAGCGTTTGGATGAAGGTTGAGAATATTAAGAAAGGTTTATTTCAGTGTGAAAAACACCTTGCTCTGTAACTGGGAAGTTCCACCATAAGAAAAAAAAGGCATATTTCATTTGTCTTTTGATTGGTTTATTAATCAACTTGGTCATGTTGCATTTAGTGCCATTGCATCTTTTACTACTGAAGACTGTTGTGTTGTCATAGTGGATTTTTATCTAGAGACCTCTCATTTGCTTTAGCATGTCTTTAAGCACCCATAGGTAGATGGGCTTGCTTAACTAACTCAGGGAGTCTATAATTACTTTTTGGTCATCTTAAATGTTGATGACGTAATTCCAGATGGCAAGGGATACATGTGATCATGTAACAAAATACTCTGCCTTGATGACTCCAACAGGTAAAGGTGTTCTTTTTTCTTGAGCAGGGAGACTAGAGGCTGCCTTCTGGGAAGATAGACACTTGGCATGCTGTGGGGGTCAGGTACTCCCTCTCCTTGCACTGTCTTCTTCCCTTGCAGCCTCTCACGGGTGCTAATGGGGCACTGTTCACCTGGTTTCCAGGACCTTGGATATATGGGAAGACTTTCATGGGGGAGGCAGGCATGGATAGTTTTAAAGAAGTCCGCTTTTAGATCATCACCTTCCATGTGTAATTGTACCTAAAATTGAAATGTGTTTGAGCCCAGGAGTTCTGCAGGTTCTCCTGTCCACTTTACCTTTTATAATTGCCCTTTTGCTTTCCAAAAAATTAGTCATATCCCTCATCCAGACTTTTACCAGGGTGCATGACATAGGGTGTGTATAAGAATAAACAGAGTAGCTCTGGCCAGTGTGTCTCAGTTGGTTGATCATTGTCCCATGCACAAAGAGGTTGTCAGTTTGATTCCCAGTCAGGGCACATGCCTGGGTTGTGAGTTCAATCCCCAGTGTGGGACGTGCAGGAAGCAGGCAATCAATGTTTCTCTCATCAGTGTTTCTATCTCTCCCTGTTCTTTTGTCTTGCTCTAATGTCAATAATACACACATACAGACACACACACATACACACACACACACACACAGAATAATTTTCCAGAGCACCAAACCCAGGACACTTCAGAATGCTGGTTTTAGGGAAGCATCCATCTTGTGTAGATTAATGCGGGCATCAAAACTGCCACAAGGCACTGTTGCTAGCTTGCCCTTTTTTGTGCAGAGATTTTTTTTTAATGGTGAATGTTCAGATGTTCTGAATGGAAATATATTGTATAGGGAGTCATCGGTAGGGTTTATCACATATTTACTTGTTTAGTCCTCCCCAAACTTTGAGGTAGGGACTATTAGTCCCATTTTACAGGTAGAGAACCCTGAGGCTAGAGTTTAGGTTGCTTGTTCAATTGTGGAGCCAGGCTTTGAATCTAGGCCATTGGTTTCTGCCCCTGGGATTTCCTGCTGCTCACAAATCATGTGAGTATCAGAAAAACCCTTTCTTAGTGTCAGGATTTTTTGTTCTTTGTACTTAATTTTTTTTAAAGCCTGTCTTTCTAAAACCAGTGAAGTGATGATTTTTGTAAAGGAAGCTGGACAGAAATAGCCTGAACGATATGGCAGCCATTTAGCATGTGCCGAGGTGCCCAAGAATAAATGCAATGACCTGTTCTCTTTTCTCTTCCTTTTCTATGATTCTGCTGCTTCAAGTGATTAGTTTTGCTCAGTGGTCTCAGAGATCTCCTGCATGCCTAGAGCTGTTGAAGTTAGAGGGTAAGGAAGAGTCTCTTCCTTCAAAAAATGGGCAACTAGGATCTGATAGTTGTCTGTCCAAAAGATACATTTGATGTTTGTTAATCTTTCTATTTTCTTCACCTCTTACCTCGTGACAATCCCTGTTCAGTAATTTTAATTTTGTAGGGCTGTGCAGTGACAGGTAATGGGAAGGCTGTCTCCTTCAGATTGTGGCCTCTGAAGGCAGGGATCTGAACAGCAGCACAATGTACAGTGTATTGTTGGTTTGTTTCATTTTAGGAGCCTCAGGGTCTACTCAGAGAAAAATGAAAGGTGGCAAAGTCAGTCCTACTCACTTGTATGCAAGCCAGAGCAGTTGGTTGTGTGGGAACCTTGTGGTGCCTGGTGGAGCTCTGCCAAGACCAGCTCCAGAAGCTGGGGTACAGTGTGTTCAGGTCCAATTACTGCAGGTAAGAGTCATGAGCTGGGCCCTGGCCGGTTTGGCTTAGCGGTTAGAGCGTCGGCATGCGGTCCAGAGAAAGAATCATGAGCTGGGAGGAGACAGGCCACAGAGATGTCCAGGTGAGAGCTGTGGGCAAGGCCTCAGGTCTCATGTCTCTTGAGTGCGCCTTCCTCAGTGAATGGCTTTTCCACCATCATTTCAAGTCCTGCTTTATATCCTGAATGATCTCTCCATAACCCCAGCTTTTCCTTTTGTCCCATCCACACTGGTCCATTCGTTCAAGCTTTTATCCTCATTAAGATGGACTCATCAGTGTCAGAACTCACTTTGTATATCTGGTCTCCCTCTTCCCCATGTGGTCTGTCTTCTGTACCTCGCTGGGAGTCTTGTGAGGTGTATACATGTGTCTGTTCCATTTCAAGGCCCCTTCTAGCTGTCATGCAGCTGCTCGGGCTACCTGAGGCTGGCCACAGACAGGCACTGCACTCCTGTGGATGCTTTGTGGCACCTGGCTCTCACACCATCTGCCCCTCCCAGACCCTACTTCTCTTTTACAGGGTTGAAGGGGCTTCCTCAGGCAGCTTTGGTCACCCCCATCTCTGAGGATTGCTGGTAGCACACCAGAGGATGTAACCTTTACTTATTAAAGGTGCTAGCTTTTTATTTTTTTATTTTCCCTGTTTTCTTCTTTACCAAACTGAGCCCCTCAAGAGCAAGGCCAGACACCTCTTAGACTGTGCCCAGGGCCCAGCAGACCTCTGCAGCTGGCAGCCAGTCCGTGAACGCTCACTGGACACATGTGTCTCCATACCTCTGTGTATACCTTTATTTTCAGTCTCATTTTTGAGGAACCAAAATAGGGAAGTAAAGTAATTTGGGTTTTAGGGTAGAAGAGATTTAAAAACTGAGAATACGCCCCTTTGACTGGAGCCAATTACATGCTACCTCTTCCCTGAGTAATCTTCTGTGTCCTGAGTACTCTGGGGCCAAAGAGCACCATGTGGCCAGGGAGGTACAATTAGAGATGTCATAGAACATCCAAGTCTTGAGCTGATCTGAAAGAGGTAGGAGGGTAGTCCTGTCTGTGGGGTCTGTAGTCCTGGGAGAGGCTCACAAAGCAGATAGGACCACATTGGCTGTGAAGAGTTTGTAGGGTTCAGATATGGGAAAGAGAGGTAGGAATGGCCTGGGCAGAGCCCAGGGAGTGCCGGGAAGACAGGCCCAGTGAACCACCATGCTGTTGTAGCAAACCAGAAGCTGATGTGAGGATTTTGTGAGGGCAGAACTTATCTGAAGAGAAATGAAAGATTTCCCCCAAGATAGAGGTGGTGGAGATAGGGTGGGTTGCAGCCCAAACCTTCTGAACATGCCGAAGACAGCAGGTCAGAAGTGAAAGGAAGGACTGAAGGTTCTGAAATGGAGAGTGCAGGGAAGCTGGTACCACTGGCAAAACAGGAGCTAGCTGGAAAATAAGTAGTGGCTTATTTTCTAAGAAACACCCAGTTAAAGATGTCAGCTTTGAGGTAGAGAAACCTGGGTTTTAATCTTTCATAGTCTTGGGCAAGTTACTGAAGCACTTCGGGACCTCCATTTTATCATATATAAAATGGAAATGATAATGCTCGGGGCTTGACACAGAAATGCTGATGGTGACGGTGGCACCTGGATTTGAGTGGTGGGGGCTGTGGGTGCCCATGGGTTGGACACGCAGATGAAAAACAGGTGAAATGTTAAACAGTGACCCTTTTCCAAATTGGACGACTAGAGGCCTGGTAGCCTCCTCTTGGAAAGACCTTTCATCTCTCTAGTCCCAGCTTGACTGAAAGCTGGATTCAGGGCAGAGATGAGCCTACCTGTGTGGTCAGAGAAGGCTGCTGGAGAGCAGTGAGGACACTTGGGGAGGGATGCGAGGAGCCTCCATCCAAGTTCAAGAACAACCCACAGGAGAGAAATTGGCACTTGGACTGAGGAGAGGTATTTGAGTGTAGGAGCATATGGGAAAGTTCCAGAAGAAGGGCTTGGGAGGAAGGAGCAGCCAGATGGCAGGTAGTTTAGGCCCAGCTTAGTCCACTGGGATCAGGGTGAGAGAATGAGGACCAGAAAGAGGAGCAAGCAGCTCCCAGCCCCTGATGCCAATTACTGCTGGGTCCTCAGGCCTCACTTGGGTCCAGGTGGTGCCTTGCCTGGAATACAATGGGTGGGACCAGTTCTGCATATCACATTGACAGACCTCCTCAGGCTGAGGTAAGGAATGCCGTCATGCTGGTTAATAAAATGTGTGCTGTTGCCTCCCCAGGACAACCCCTCAGGTGAAGGAGTCTTGCCGTGTGTGCTCAGCCCGCAGCCTTCCATCTCCCACCCCCTGTTTGCCATTGGTTTGCCTGTCTTTGTCCTCCAGGTCTGATGCCTTACAGTTCTTTGGGTTTGTTAGTAAGGCTGTCATGAAGCGTCCAGCTTCTGAGGCTGGTCACTGAGGTAGGCCTTGGGCGGAGATTCATTGGGTTGATTGCCGGGATGTTTGCCACTTTCTAGAAAAGGTGGGGGAATGGCCATGAAATAAAAGCTAAGACTAAAGCTCAAATTTGCTGTCATTGTAGCTCCTACTTGTAAATAAGGTGAAAATACTCTTTAAAAAATATTTTATATAGAGAAATTCTAGTCACTTTCTTCTGTGGGAAGTTAGTTTTTAACCTGTGAAAAACAGACCCAGACAAATTAAATAGTTTGCTTAAGTAAGTGGTTAAACTTACTGTAGATGGGTATGGATAGCAATAATTCAGATTTTGATGTAAAATAGTGAAAGTAGCTTATTAAATTTCTAACAGGCTTAAATATGTATTTTTCAATACATACAAATAGTAATTTTAGTTTTCTTGTATTAAAATTGGGCCATTAAACATTTTCCTTAATGTGAAAAGTAAATATTGAATAAAGTTCTGGTACAAGGTGGGGGTGGAGGTAGTAGCTCCCAGACTGCTGGAGTGGGGGTAAATTGGAGGGTGGTTTGGTACCATGTAGCCAGAAACCCTTATTAGTGTTTAATACATTCTGCCTGGTGTTCCTACTCATGAGACCACTCCTAAAGAAATCATGTAGGATACAAATAGCCAAAAGCTGGTCATCATAATCTCAAATCTAATGATGTAGGAACTTTCTCTAGCAGGAAGAGGTGGATGAGACGGGTGATGATGGTGCAGCTAGAGGCCTGGTCAGCCAGTGATGATGCCTAGTAACTGGGAAAGATGCTTCCCACACACAAAGTGAGGGAAAGGGGTTACAAGTTAAACAAGGACAGTCTTATTTTTGAGGAAACCTATAACACAGTATTGATTTTTTTTTTTTTATATTTATTATATTTACTTTTTTTTTTCAAGGCACATATGTTTAAAATAATGGGAAAACAAGTTATTTTTAACTGAGAAAAGTCAGAAGCACCCAACTGGCTGGCCCCACAGGTTAGGCTGCTAGTTGGTGAGCGGCTGTAAGGCTGCTTCCTAGGAGGTGGTCCTGCACCGCCTCAGCCCCCTACTCTGCCCCCCTCATTACTCTGCTTGATTTTGCAGGAGGTGCTTCCTGCAGCTGGAGGGGCTGCTGGGCCTGAGGACACGCACTGCACAGGCAGCACTATCAACCCAAAGGACCTACAGTGAAAGCAGCCCTCTACCTAGGGGACCCAAGGGCGGCGCCTCCAATCTGTCCCCATGAGACTGTTACATGGTCTTGCAGGCCTGGGTGAGAACCCACTTGGTGTCTGCTCAGAAGGCCAGCCTAGTTCTTCAGAGACTTTTGAGTACACTTATTGAAAATGTTTTTCTTACATTCTATCAGGAACTAGTTAGGGGCTATATTATTTAAAACGACCTTGTTTAAGCAAAGTGTTTCAGTGAGGCAAGGATTGCCTTCCTAGCAAAGCACACCCCTCTTCTGTACTTGTGCCTATGTATGCACATCCCTTGTCCCATTCGATATGAGTCATGGAGCATCAGTTTCATTTTAAAAAACAGATTTGTGTTCTGGCTGGTGTCGGCCTGCAGGCTTCATCCCCGGCCCCAGTCAGGGTTGTGGGGGAGGCAACCAATGGATGTGTCTCTCTCAAATCGATATTTCTCTGTCACTCCTACCTCTCCCTACCTCCTTCCTTTTCAGTCTGTCTCAAAAAAAAAAGAATAAAAAAAAAAGAATCAATGGAAAAATATCCTTGGGTGAGGATTAATAATAAATAAATAGCTAATGAGAGAGAGAGAGAGAGAGAGAATAAACTTGTGCAAGAAATAGAGTACAGGTTTCCTAGTCAAATACAACTTTTATCTGTAGTAAAATCAGATGATGTCTTTCAGCTTTGGTGTTTCAGCATTTGCCCTGAGAGATCTAAAAACTGTTTTCCCTTTCTGAAAGCTATGTAACAGGCTGTTTCCTAACCCCTTGAATGGTGTTCGTAGTGGTGTTGATTTTGTCACATTGTGGGGCCAGAAGTGGGCTTGTCACAAGAAGCCAAATTCTAATTTATGTTCTGGCAGACCAGGTGGCTGCTGGTGTGAGCAGAAAATACTGAGGGTGAAGTGGGCTTATTGGGGGCCCTGTTCGGGAGCCCTCTGTGTAGACCAAATTTTGAGCTCATAGTTTGGGGATAATAGAATTAAAACATTGAAAATAATTTTTCCAAATTCTGTATTTGGGTACTAATGTTTAATAGTAATTTGACAGTGGTTTATAAAGTAATGTTCTAAATACTATAGACTATGTGTAGGACAGTAATGATGGCTTGTATATGTCTTTGTTGAGGTTTAAGATGTGCATATTATGTCACCACATTTTTTACAGAGTAACTTCTGTTTTGCAAAAGGAGATGAGTTAATAATCTTGAACATATTTATTTGTTAATTGGTAGTGGACTGGACACAATCACTCAGAAATGCTGTGTGTCTTATGCCTTTTGAAGTGTGTGTTTATTAAGATGCTATTTTGGTTCTGAGACTTGGAATCATTCAAACTCTGCCCATTCTGTGTTTCTTTGTTTCTTGGGTTTTTAGACTTGGGCCTTTAGGAGTGACCCAGCATTCAACCAATTCCTCTCTCTGTCCTGTTCTGAGGTGCCATCTGCTCCTGCTCAGTGCTTCTCCACCCGAAGAGTTTGGGCCTCATTTATAAATGGCTCATGCAGAACTCTGTGCTGTGTGATAAACTAAAGTTCTGTGCCCATCTGGCACCTCAGCCTCCAGGTCCTCCAGAAATCCCCTCCCTCTCCAAGGAGCTAGGCCTGTCTGCCAGAGTGGCCACACTGCACTGGCCTCCTGAAGGAAGACATATTGCTGGACCTTTCTCCCACATGTCCCCCAGTGAATGTTTACTATAAAGTGATTGGTACTGGATGTCAGTTTTCTGGGCACTGAGGTTCCCTGTTGGCAATGGACCCAACCCCTAGTCCAAATGAATAATAAAAGTTTTTGTCTAGTTTCGCACTGAGGTTTCTCTTGACTTAATTTAAGGAATTGTGTGTCTAGTGTTGAAATCACTTTCTTTCAGTGAGTAGTGACAACCATTCCATCTACCCAGCTTGCTGCTTACTTCTTTGTATTGGGGCTAGCCCCACACTACACCCCAGTGTGGAATTGGCTTTTGTCTCTTAAAGCCATTGTTTTAGATGGGAGCCAAGATGGGCTCCTTCCCTCAAACATTTGCTTAGGGTTAAATGATTAAAGATGAGTGTTGGCATTTGGAAATATGGATTACCTCCTTAAAAAGTCCTTAGACACCAAAGAGTCATGGAGTTTATTTCACATAAGTAAGGATATAGCAGGAGACCATGAGGAGTAGCCCTGTTTGCTTCCTGCTTCTGTCTTTCCTGTGCCGTCACCCAGACCAGCACCTGTGAAGGCTAGGTGAAGAAGAACAGTTGCTCCTCCTTTTCCTTGTCCAGCAGCTCGTTCTCAGGCTCCTCCTTGGTTTTCAGGGCCGGGGGTCGGGAACGGAACACCAACCTTCTGCCTCTCTGCAGAGGAAGCAGACAGTAACCCACTGCTTGTGGCCTCAGTGTACCAGAGGTTCTGCCTAGATGCTGAGAGGCCACACCTCTGCCAAGAGGCTGGAGAGCTGGGACTGTAGAGCCCTGTGGACGGTCCCAGCCTCTGGTCACTTCTGGTCAGCTGCAGGCTGAGGGCTGGAGTTGCTGCGCCAACTCAGAAATGTCTGTCCAGCGCTAAAGCCTATGCCCTGGGGTGCCAGCCCTTAGAAGTGTGTGGGTGGTCAGAGGGAATACCTGGAAACACAGATGGGAAATACCAGGCTAAACACAAAGAACCCATCTCTTGCTGTGGGGTTTGCGATGGTGACCCTTCAGTGTCCATCATTTCCCACGGGACAGAGTGGAGAGTGCTGGTCTATTCCAGGGAAAGCCCATCTGCCTTTGTCCGTTACAGGCCATGTTCAGGCTTGGGCCTGCATTAGAAACCATGCCTCCTGTTGCCAGGGCCAGAGGCAACTGGCTGATCCTGTCCATTCACTGTGAGGTAGAGGCCTTGGGGACACAGCAATCAGGGGGACCTTTGTGACAGGTGATGAGCTTGGCCTGAGGCATAGGTTGTGTAGTGGGACTGTGGGTAGCTGAGTTGTTCATGTTCTCTCTGAGCTGAGGGCCTGCACCTGGGCAGGTATGGGAAGGCATGACCAGGCCAGTCACTGACAAGGAATGTGTACAGAGGAGCTGGCAGTCCCAGGGGAGGGCTTCTGGAGGAAGGGGAGGGCAACCTTGACCAGCAGTAGGCCCAGGAATGGGAGACCCTGCTGTATTCTGGCCTTGCTCTTATGGCCCCAGGACCCCTCCAATAGCATTTGCAAAGGATTTGGTGAAACAGACTCAGCTGTAGGCCTTTTGTTTTTCCCAGCCCCAGTGTGCTTGGTTGTGGAACCCTTCCCTAGCCGTAGTTCCCCAGGGCAGCCCTGCCCACCTTCTTCTTGATCTCAGCCTGGGCCCGGGCTTGGGCCCGTTGCAGACGCTCCTCTTGCAGCTGCTTCTGCATCTTGGCTTTCTCTTCCCGGAGTCTAGGTGGCAGTGGCAGCAAGAGAAGGATTAAGGATTAGGGGAGCCAGGGGAGGTTGCCAAATCCCCTTCTCAGCTTCTTCCTACATAGACCTCAGGCCATGGCCTGCCCTCATCTGAGAAAACTGCCTACTCTTCTCCACCCTTCCTTTCTCTGCTCCTTGCAGGGGCATCCCAGCTCTGGAGACAATCTAAGAGTCATCATCTCATATCTTCAGGAATTCTAGGTTTTTAAATCCTTATTCCTGTGATCCAAATGCCTATGGCTTTTCCACTGTCACCCTTGAAGGCCCAGACTTTAGCAAGATTAATAGTGTTGTCTCCATCCCTTTGTAATTGTGGTCCTCAAACCTTTGCCCAGTGTTTGCCCTGAACAAGGTACCAAGATCACAGAGGAAGGGCTTATGGGAAAGGCAGATAGATGGCTGCTTACAGATGGCTGTGTCTCGGGGCTCTGCACAGGAGTTAGTGAACCAGGAAGCCTACAGGCCAGAGGAGTCATGGTCTCTGGAACTCACTTGCACTGCACTGGGCCTATGGGGAGTTTCTCAGGCCTCCTCTCAGAGGATGGGCCCACACCACCTGTGTCCCATGTTCTGATGCTATCACTAAACTCTGGGCTCCCCAGATACTGCCAGAGTCTCTGCCCTCCCCTCCCCTGGTCTCTGGCAGTGCCAGCCTTTTTCCCTCCAATGCAGCCAGAAAAATGGCCCTTGTTTCTGGAGGCAAGGCTGTGGTAGCCATACCTCACTTTGACTCCTGGGCTCCCTGACTCCACAAGACAAGAGGAGCTTCCCTCATTGAGGCTGAGCTTAGTGTCTCCTCCAGTTCCTCCCAGAGCCCCGGCTTTTGGGTCTCCCAGCAGGAGAACCAGGGTCCTTCCTATCCCTTTGGTTCGAGAGTTCTTGGAGGACAGCCTGGGCCCTCACCTCTGGCGCCGCTCCTTCTCTTTGGCTTTCTCAGCCTGCTCTATCTTGACCTGGGGCACACGCTCCAGGTTCTCAAGCAGCTCATCCAGCTGGTGTTCGATGATGGTCAGCATCTGCACAGTGCCCAGGTTGGACTCTTGCTGGACGCCAACACATTGCCGGTACACATCCAGCACCTTGCAGTTGAGGCTCTCTAGCAGCTTGTCCTGTGAGGCAGGCAGTCCATCAGCAGGCTCACTTGGGCCTGTGCCCACCCCTACTCCATGGTCTGCCCTCACTACAGCATGGCTGACCTCCCAGGCCTTGCTTGGCACAGGTGAGCACTCAGGAAGCTTGGGTAAAACAGATCTTGGACACCTGGACTTTTCTTGGCCAGAGCTGTGACCTCTCCACCCCCTTGCTCTTTTCTGGTCCCCACTGGGGCTCATGCTTGTGCTTCAGCCCCTCCCCAAGCTGTCTCAATGTGTCCCTTTCTCCTGGGAGCCCCCCCTCTACTGCCCCTGCACTGATCTCAGCTCCCCACAGGTCCACATCTTGTGACCTAATTTCTGTGTGGCTCTGGCCTGATGAACTCCCCTCTCTCTGAGTCTGTTCTAACATTCAGAAAACAGTTAGCCCCTCCCCCCAACACATGAATGGGCCTGAGGAATAAATGAGGAACAGCAGGCAAAAAGGCTTAAGCCAGGCACAGGGCACAGCTAGAGCCCAGTGATGACTAGCAAAAGACAGGAATACACTGGCCTGCTCGTTGTGGCATCCCACATGTACCTAGCCCAGTGCCTGGCACACAGTAGGTTGTCAATAGCAATTTGGATGAATTAGGAAGCTGGGGATGCTATCAAGAAAAGTATGTGCCAAATTCTAGTCCCACTGCCCAGAACATCCCTGGCTTTCAGAATTCTCACTCTCATATCCTGGCCTGGGGATGTGCCTGTCTACTTCCCAGCAGGGTCACCTACTGGGTACATTGTACATGTTTAAGAAGCAGACATTATTTGTTGAATGAAGGAAGGAATGAAGAAGGTGTGTTGGGTAGATGAACAGCCATGGAGCAGAAACACATGGGGTGCCTTGGGTTTGGGGACCAAGGACCTTCTTTAGCTGGTGCCCCATGGTCAGGTCCATGGAGCCTAGAGATGACGAGGGGCTATGGCAGCCCAGAGCAAAGCTGAATCTCAGAGCTTGCTCTTCTGCTGTCAGAGCTCCAGGCACTGGACCTCCTCCCAGCAGGTGCCTAAAATAGGACCCCTGCACCCCACTGCCAGCCTGTGGCCACCTGTACTTCTTCCACACCCACCACCTGCTGGCTGCCATCTAGGGGCTTACCTCCTGAGCGCCCTTGTACTCGCCGAAATGGAAAACTCGGGCTTTGAGCTCCAGCTCAGCAGCGGTCTCCTCCTCCTTGGTGATGGCCATCATCAATGTGGTTATCCACTGCTTCAGTTGGTTGACTTCCCTATCCCTGGATGGGGGAGCAACAAGGCCCTGCTCACTCAGTGTAGCCCTAGGCACTTCACCTCTCTGAACCTGACCTTCCTGCTGCTGTCCTGAGGATTAAGGGACCATAACTGCAAAGTGTCTGCATACCCAGGGGTGAAAGGAACTGTGAGATGCAGGGGTAAACTTTAAATCTTTAACAACTGACATTAAAAAAACAGTTTTTAGTATATTCATAAAGTTACACAATCATTGCCATAGTCTAATTTTAGAACATTTTCTCATACAGAGAGAAACCCAGTATGCATTTGCAGTCATTCCCTATTCTTTACTCTTCCTCTGTATCTCTTTCCTGGACATTTTATAAACATGAACTCATACATGTGGCCTTTTTTGTTTGGCTTTAATTCAGTGCAGTGTTTTCAAGGTCCATCCACTTTGTGTGGCATATGTCAGAATTTTATTCCTTATGATCACAATAGTAGTCTATTGAGTGGACAGGCTACACGTTGCTGACCTACTCATCCATTGAAGGACTTGTGGTTTCTACCTTTTGGCTGTTGGGAATAATGCTGCTATTAACATTCATAGGTTTTTGTGAGGACATATTTTCAGTTCTCTTGGATATATATTTAAGAATGGAATTAGAACAATCAACTTTGAAATGATACAATAAAATGTTTTTCTTTATTGATTTTAGAGAGAGAGGAAGGGAGAGGGAGATATAAAGAGAAACATCGATGAGAGAGAACATTAATTGGCTGCCTCCTGCATGGCCCCCACTGGGGAATGGACCCACAACCTGTGCATGTGTCCCTGACTGGAAATCGAACCAGTGATCTCTTGGTGCATGAGTCAACACTCAACCACTGAGCCACACTGGCTGGGCTAAAATTTTTTAAAAATAATAAAACTTTCACAATCTTGGCAGACACTGACCATTATATGTTGGGATTTCCCAAGCTGGAATCTCAGCTCTTAAGACTGGTATGGCTTCACCCAGTACAGGCAGCTGCATGCATGTCCTGGTCTCAATAACTGTATGGAAATTGGGCCACTCCGCCAGTAGTGCCTGGGAGGCCCAGAGGTGGCTCCCTACACCCATGATGATTTTGTGGCATCTTTCCATTTGTTGCTGGAACCTGCTGACATTTTTAAAATCTTAAGCAAAGTGCTGTTTTGCCCACTAGGTCACATGCACCACCACAGGGCTACAGCCCCATAATAGGCCCCAAGGCTGCATGCCCCCAGGTGTGGGGCCGAGGTCTGAGTCCATAAGATTGAGTGTGAGGAGTACTGAGCTGGAGACACTGATTAGCTGTCTCCTGCCCAGCCCCCACTGGGGACAAACCTACAACTCAGGCATGTGCCCTGACTGGGAATTGAACCATCAATCTTTCAGTGCACAGGACGATGCCCAACCAACTGAGCCACACCGGCCAGGGCGATCAAAAAGGATTTAAAGACAGCCAGTTGAAGAATATGATCTTAATTTGGATTCTAATTCAAATTAACAGCTTAAAAATGCAATCATGTTATGGATTATGGATATTAAATATTAAGGATTGCTGGTTTTTTAAAGATATGATAATGGGCCCTGCTGGTTTAGCTCAGCAGTTAGAGAATGTTGGCCCCTTGGACCAAACAGTCACCAGTTTGATTCTGGGCACATACCTCAGTTGTGGGTCAATCCCTGGTTCTGGTTGGGGTCATGCAGGAGACAGTCATTCCATGTGTCTCTCTCATATCGATGTTTCTCCCTTTCTCCCTCCCTCCCACTCTATCTGAAAATCAATGGAAAAATATCTTTGGGTGAGGATTAGAAATAAATAAATAAAGATAGGATGATGGTATTGAGATTATGTTAAAAAGCCTACCTTTTAAAAAGTATCTACTATAATATTTATAGGAAAATGATACAATGCCTGGAATTTGCTTAAAAATAATAAGAAAGATGGAGAAGTGGGTGGGGTCTAGGTGAAAGGAGATAGGCTATGAGTTGATCACTGTTAAAGCTGGTGATGGGGTTGGGGACTCATACTATTCTCTCTACTTTTATATATAGTTATATATTTGAAATTTTCTTAGAACCATTGGGCTGAATTGGATAAGTTATAAGAAGGTTTTTTGTTTTTTTTAAAGGTAACAAGGAAGAGGATTCATTTATAAATACCTGAGGACATAACCAGCAAGTTTATCAGACTAGTGGTAAAGGGAAAAAAACAAAAACAAGCACAACAAAATGTAAATAACATTCAAAAGACCAAACAAAAGAGAGTTACCGTATTTCAACAAAAATAGCAGCAAAAAGAACAAAAACAAAGTATTTTGAAATAGAGGAAGATGGCAGAATAGGTAGCACTAGGAATCAGTCTCCCTTCCTTGACAACAGTTGCACTCGCAGTATCTGTCTGATACAACCATTTTGGAATTCTGGAGTACCGAAGCCTGCAACTCCAGGGGAAGCCTGGAAAGTAATTGCAGTTAATTTCAGTCTATTTAAACTCTGAGAAGAATAACAGCTACCCAGCCACAACTCCCAGTCAAGTGACAGACAGCTGTGCAAGTTTCCTGGAGCATCTTGTATAGCCTGTGGGAGCTACAGTGGGCAAAAAGGACCCTTGCCCTCCAAATATTGGGGATCTGCTCTCTGATCATTGACTGGTGCTTCTCATCTCAGAGTTGCAGGAAGGCAGCCATTGTTATTATACCTCCTCCCATTATCTTAAGTTCCTGTACCTTGGCTGAAGTGATTTAAAGGGCTGGTGCTCTTCCCTTCCCCTCTTCATTTTTTTTTCCCTCTTTTGAAAGGCAGATATTAAAGACCAAGGACATTAAAAAACAAGTATCTATAGGGAAAACTAGAAAGTGACTGTTCATGCCCAGGGAAAGGCTTAGAAAAGACCTAAAAAGACCTTAAGTTTTACACCTCAGGCTCAACACAGAGGCAGCCTACAACTTTCAAATAAGAACAATAAACAAAATTATGGAGCAGGGAGAGTATCTGATTTCCAGAGTTCCCACATTATTACATCCCAGTGCTAAGTGTTTAACAACAAAAGTCAAGGCACACAAAGTATGGCCCACTCAGAGGGAAAAAAAATCAACAGAAACTGTCCCTAAGAAAACCTGATGGCAGATATACTACAAAGAGTTTTTTAAAACAAACTGTTTTAAAAGATGCTCAAAGAACTAGAAGAAGATATGGAGGAAGTCAAGAAAACAATATGTGAACAAAATGGAAATATTAATAAAGAAATAGCCTTAAAAATACGGAGCTGAAAAGTACAATAACTGAAATGAAGAATTCACTAGAGGGATTCAAAGGCAGATTTGAACAGGGAGAAGAAAGAATCACCAGTTTTTGAAATAGGACAATGGAAACTATCAAGGCAAAGGAACAAAAAGAAAAAAAGTAGAAGAAAACAAAACCTAAGGAATCTGTGGAACACCATCAAGAGGACCAATATACACATGAATGTCCCAGAAGGAAAAGAGGATAGAGGAAGATGCAGAGAAAATATTTGAAGAAATAATGTCTGCAAACTTTTCAAATTTGATTAAAGACATGAGTCTAAACATCCAAGAAGCACAAGGAACTCCCACACTGAGACATATTATAATCAAACTATCATAGGATAATCAAAAGCCAAAGCATCTGGAAAGCAGCAAGAGAGAAGCAAAATCATCACATATAAAAGATCTGCAATAGGTTACCTGCTGATTTCTCATTAGAAACTTTGGAGGCCAGAAGACAATAGGCTGATATATTTAAAGTACTCAACAGAAAAAGAAAAAACAAAAAACAAAAAAACACCTGTCAACCAAAAATTCTGTATCTGGCAAAATTGTCCTTTAAAAGTGAGGGAGATAAATGCTGAAGGAAATAAGAAAGAAATTAGAAATGGGAAAAAAAATGCAACATACCAAAACTTATGGACACAGAAGTGGTGTTTAGGGGGAAATTTATAGCTATAAACACATAAAGAACTGAAGTCAGCAACCTAACTTTACAACTTAAAGAAGTTTTAAAAAAAATTTTTTTTGCTTTATTGATTTTAGAGAGAGAGGAAGGGAGAAATAGGGAGAGATAGAAACACTGATGAGAAGGGACATCAATTGGCTGCCTCCTACATACCCCCCACTGGGGATTGGGCCCACAACCTGTGCATATGCCCTGCCTGGGAATTGAACCAGTGATCTCTTGGTGCACAGGTCAATGCTTAACCACTGAGGCATACCTGCCGGGCTCAACTTAAAGAACTTCTAAAAAAAAAAAAAAACCTCAAAGCGATCAGAGAGAAATACAGTGATACCTCGGTTCTCGAACGCCTCGGATTTCGACCAAATCGGTATTCGACCAGGAGATTCGAGAAACTTTTGTCTTGGAATCCGAACAAATATTTGGAACTCGAACTTCCGAGATGAGCCAAGTTGAGCCGAATGGCGTTCATTCGGCCCAGCGCGCCTTGCTTGCGTCATCAGTGTGAGTGCAGAGAGAGAGTCACGCATTGTGCAGAGAGTCACGCTTTGTGGAGAGAGTCACGCTTTACACTGAATTTAACCCTTAGACATACTGTACACTTTAATTTCTTGTTGAGACTTATGTTTTTCTACATATTATATACAAATTAGGCCAGTAAATAGGCATTTTCTGGGGCTTGGAACGAATTAATCCAGTTTCCATTATTTCCTATTGGGTTTCATTGCTTCGGTTCTCGAACAATTTGGTTCTCGACCGTCCTCCTGGAACGAATTATGTTCGAGAACCGAGGTATCACTGTAGTAAAAATTAGAAGAGAAAAACAAAATAGAGACTAGGAAAACAATTGGTTATTTGTAAAGGTTAAAATTGACAAACTTTTAGCTTAGATGGACTAAGTGAAAAAAAAAAAAAAACCCACAAATGACTAAAATCAGAAATGAAAATGGGGATATCACTACTGATTTTACAGAAATAAAAAGAATTATAAGAGTACTATGAACAACACTGTACCCCAAAATTGGATAACATAAATTGATAAA